CTAGGCCATTCTATGATTCTATGACTTGACCACAAAGTGAGCCAGGGTCCAGCCCACATCGCTGTGTAGGCAATGCTGGGCACTCTGATCCATGAGGAGCTTGACCAGCTCTGATTTTCCTTGTGCTGGGCAGCAAAATAGGGAGAGAAGGTGCACCTGTTTGAACCTGGCAGGGTTTTTGGAAGTGGAGGGGAGAGCTGTGAGGGACAACTCGCAAAAATTCTAGAGGCTCCCCCAGCCCCAGTAAGAAGTTAGACCTGCCTCTTCCCAGGGCCAGGCCAATCAGCACCTCTGCAATCAATGTATTTGAGACGTGACCCTGTTGTTCTGGTTCCTCTGTCTCGTTCTATTTTGGTCCTGTGTTTCATGTTGGGGAGTGTTTCTGTTGAAGGACGGGGAGGTGAGAGGAAGGCAGAGGAACGTGGTCAGCAAGGAAAGTCAGGGAGAAGGGCGCTGGAGTATAACATTTCCCCAGAGCCCTGTGGTGAGTGAGATGGCAGGAAGCTGATTGCCTGGAAGCTGAGGGGATTGATGGCAGTAAGAATGTCCAGGATGTGGTGGGGCATGGAGAACCCCATGCCAGGGAGGAGAGAGACTGTGCCCAAGTGGAGGATGTGCCCAAACTGACCCATGACACTGACTGGGAGGGCCTCATGAGCAGGAACATAATTGCCTCCCGTGAGGTGGACATCACGCGGCATTACGAGGAGACTGCAGAGAGCCCTCTTTCTCAAGGAGGAACTGCTATGATGAATAATGGCCAGGTGGACTGCACCCCCCACCTCCTGTCCCCCCTTGTACCGATGAAAAAAAATGGGATGAATGTGGGCAGGTGTATTCAAGATCCAGCTGTATTTCCTTATGTATTCCTCAATATCCTACTCCAAGAATGGTGGTGGTAAATTAAATTTATGTTTTCTACCCAACTCTGTTCTGACTTTTACCTGTCATCTTAAGTGATATATTATTATCCTCCCTGTCATTAATTGCAACCCTTGAACCATTTTAGTTGAGTTTTCTCCCTCCACATCCCTGTGGAGATGGAGGTGGGGGGAGCAGTGAAGGAATGACTGCATGGTTCTTCATCGTCAGCTTGGGTGGTCAGATCTAACCGCGACATCTTACATTAAATTTTATACATTTGGGATGCAGAAGATGGTCACATACAGTTGATGATAATTCAGTATTTCAGTTCTGAGCAATCCAAGCAAGGTTTCATCCCTAAAAATCCTCACATTCGAAAGACAAACATTGAATCGTCACACATGAACTTCTTTTCCTCTATACACTTCAATTTAAAAGAAACTCCTGCATATCCTTCAATGCCTTACCCCCACTATGTGGCAGTTCACCTACTATTAAGGCATTAACACTGGGAAAATTAACAGAGATTGCAGTATCCTCAAAGGATAAAAATCAACTCCCATTTCCAGCATCTTGGTTGAATTTTGCAGCTCCTGGACTCTGCAGGGAAAGGGGATAAAGATTCCCCTCACTGTGCTTTGCTGAACGCATTCCTCTGCATGAGCACTGGAAGTGACAACAGCACGGGAGAACCCAGACCATCAATCCTGACAGTGATCAAACATAGGACAGGGACTAAATCACAACACTGCCCACCACAGAATAGCATCTAATTTGTTTGTGTCGCCCAAGGCAGATCTTCTGATCTGAAATGCAAATATTGAATACTGACATTGATAGCATGTAAGGAGACACCCAGCACATTTACATTCCTGCACCTGCCCTGCTCTGAATAGGAGCAGCACCACAATCCCCAACAACAACTCTATAAAGCTCCTCTTTCCATACGTGACACTCAGCAAACAGCAGCTGCCGACCTGCGCTCAGCCTTGGTGCAACAACTTCCTTCTCTGGCTCAGCGTTGCTTCCCATTCTGAAGGATGGCAGCTTACAACTCTCCATATGAAGCTAATTCCACTTCTTACAGAACCACAGCTGTGGTCATCGCCACGCTTCAGGCATTTGCTGGCCTGTGGATAAACGCTTTCATTGTTTCTGTGCTTTGTATTGCTTGGGTCAAAAAGAGAAGCTTTAACTCCTTTGAGAAGATCTTGCTGTTTCTGGGATGCTCCAGGTTTTGGTATTTGTGCTTCACACTGGTATCTATTGTTATTTCAAAAACATGTTCCTGGTGTTTTTTTGTTCAACCCATACCCCAACTCCTTGCAGCTATTCAAAGCTTTTCTGTTTCCTCCAACTTGCTAGTTTCTGCTTGTCTTTGTGGTTTCTATTGTATAAAAATTGCAAATTTCAGGCACACCTTCTTCACCTACATGAAAGTAAAAATTGACAGGATTGTGCCATGGCTGATGTTGGGGTCAGTGCTTTTATCCTTGGTCTTCAGTTTCCTTGCCTACGACATCAGTGAGAAAGAACTCAATAACTGCTTCAATTCCACCACACAAGTTTCATGGAAATTGAGTGTAAGAATGGACGAAAAACTTTTGGCTATGTTTGTCACTTTTGGCTTCGTATTTTCCGCTGCTTTCATGGTAGTAATTTTTTCTGCCCTTCTCCTCCTCTTTTCTCTCTGGCGACACAAAAGCAACATGCAGACAAATTCTGCGAAGAACCTCAGTGTGGATGTTCACATTAAAGCCATGAAATCTATTCTCTTCTTCCTCTTCATTTACAGCATTGACTTTACATGTTTCGTCTTGAATATGATTAATGTCACCAAGGAACATGATCCTCTGACATTTATTATTTTAGTCTTTCAGTATATTTTTCCAACTGTTCATTCCCTTATTCTGGTTTTGAGCAATCCCAAACTGGAAAAGACACTGCTAAAGACTCTGTCCTGTGTGAAGTGCAAGGTGTGCATGGAGCATGGAGCCCATTAAACATGTTCATATTTTATTATAGAAAATAAGAAATTTAATCTTTCCAGCCAGTGTAAGATGATACAGATGTTCTATCTTCACCATCTAGGTTAAGAAAACTTAATGACAGTTCTCTGAAGTAAATTATTATGAGTTAAACTAATACTATCTTTTTATTTAAATCATTCTTTGACTTAAATTATTGTCAATAGATGTCATGGCAATAGGAGTCTGGCAGGGTTGTTTTAAGAGGCGGGAGAGCTTTGGGGAATGACTTCTGGGAAACTTCCAGAGCCTCCTCCAGCCCCAAGTAGAAATTGAACCTGCCTCTGGCCAGGGACAGTTCAATCAGCACCTCTGTGATCAAGATATTTAACAGATGACCCCAACGTTCTCTCTCCCTTTTCATTTTGTCTTGTCTTGAGCTGTCCTGTCTTTTTATGTTGGGGAGTTTTATTCTGCTGAATGAGGGAGAATTGAGAGGAAAACAAACAAACGTGGTCCTGAGAAAAAAGAGGAGGAGGAGAGTGCCGGAGGACAACCTTTCCCTGGAGCCCTGTGGTGCCTGAGGTGGCAGGAGAGTGATTGCCTGCCAGTTGAGGGTATCGACGGCGGCGAGAATGTCCAGGATGCATCGGTATGTGCAGAGCATCATGCATGAAGGGGGATAGACCGAGCCCCA